AAAAAAAAAAAAAAAAGTGCATGCTCTTATCTATAGGTATGAATGACTACAATATTCATAGCCGATGGTTTTATTCCAGAAAATAGACTCTAAAACCTCCCTCCCCCACCCATCCCACTCTATAAATTAGTCTAGTATTTTATTCCATACTTATAACCAATTAAATTTCTTTTCCTTTCACGGTATGTATAAAATAGAGGTTAGAAACACTAAAATTAATGAAATAAATCTTAAATAAAATAACCTAGGACATATAAAAGGAGGATTTAGGTAGAAATAACTATTCAAATAAATTTCCATGTAATCCTCACACTCCCAATTTATACTCAATAAGTTTTACTCCCCCCAAATAAATAAAAACTGATAGACATCTGAATAACAAATCTTGTGACCATACATCATAATATAAAGAACGTAACTAATTAATTTTTTCTTCTAGAACAGCAGCTTTCAATCTGTGGGTTGTCACCCCTTTGTAACAATGAAAATACATCGCAGCACTAGGAAGGTTGAGAACCACTGTTCTGGGAGATTTACTTCCATAGGCAAAGCGCTGTGTGTCTTACAACTCATGTTTGGATCCTCAGAAGAATCTAGACCAGGGTCTTGAAAAGAATGGGTCCTCAATAATTACTTATAATCTCTAGTTTATTAATCAATGTAGTTACTGTGTATGTCCAAATTCCACATTCCCATAATAGGAAATGAACTGCAATTATTTTATAATCTCTTCACATACAATGTTTGAACCAGTGATGGTCTCACTTGGTAATTTATGGGAAATGTATTTAAAAGGAGTATAATAAATGATATATAAGTTCAATTTGCTTAAAAATAACCATGCTGTAATTTCTTCACTAATCTTTAAAAAATTATAGAAAAAGTACAATTATTAAAAATATAAAAAAAAACAAAAAAACCCTACTGAGTCTAGTTTCAGTCCCCACATGAGTATCTAAGGACTTATAAAATAGAGACTGCCAAGAATGTTTATTGTTCTGAACTGCACATCACATCCGAAAGATGAGAAAAGCTTGTGAATTGAGAAGGAAATTGTTATTCCAGTGATGGTACCTCCTCTAGTGAGTTTTATTCTTTCCGCAGCCCAGATTTCAGGGGATTCTTACTAGGTAAACCAGCAGTCCTTTAATCACACATCTTAAGAGCATTTGTGAAGCTGTGCAGGGAGCCTTTCTTTGCAGATTTTCCTCTTGCTTCCCTTCCTGAGCATAATAGGTTCAAGGTAGCTAATATTGTTTCCTAGTTATGCCAAGAATCCCCTGAAGGCCACGGGCTTTCAACTTAAAGACTGATGGCAAAACATCAAATGAGAATATCCACTCTAAATGGGGACTCCCACGATCATGTTATTTTTGGGAGAGCAGCTCTCTGGCTCCATGGATATCACTTGTACGGAGTAGCCACATTCTTCTGCAGCTTTTGCTCGATCCAGATCCACCAGGTACATGCACTGCTTTCCTGAAATACAGTCAAATGGTATCATGAGACATCCCTCTGCTAGCAGGACAATGTCAGCCTATTTCAGGGAATCCAGACAGTAACAAAACCCATCTATACTGTGGAGAATGCTGTTTATGCCCAAGTCCTGTTTAGTCCTTTTCAATTTAATTCTTGACTGGTGTGGAGAGAAGATAGTTTACAAATATATGACATTTCATGGAACTGTCTGTAATAATACTTTAAATAATGTTAACCCTTTCAAATGTATTTGCGGATTCTATTTCCTACTTGGTTAAAAATGCATTTAAAGACCTTTTCTGTGTCTTCCCTATAAAACTACATTATCTATAAGATTTTGGGGGAAAAAAATCTGTTTTTAAGAATATCAAAAGGCCATGCTGACAAAGGGCCATCTGAGAGACATGTTACCTTTTCTACCTGGAGTTTTTTAGGACTGTTAAGAAATGAGCAATGGAAAATATTTAAGAAAACTCTCAATTATGTGCTGATTTTTTCAGGTGGATATATAATGTCAAGTGTAATATATGAGGTCGGATAATTAAGTTCATAAACTCATCCTAGAAAAAGTGCTACATACCTCCTTGGTGAATATCATTATAGTCACCTTTGATGTACTCCCCTTGGCCATCTGGTGACCACAGGGATATTCAGCACTGAGGTATGTAGCACTTTTTCTAGGACAAGTTCATGAACTTAATTGTCAGACCTCGGAGCTCTTCACTCCTATAAAACAGCGGTATTCTATTTTCTTTGCCATCTTTGGAAGGCAGAAGAGGAAATATCACTGACAAGCAAAGCAACTAATTTGTTTTCCGTTGGCAAACACAGACTTCAAAAGTAGTTACAGACAAAATGATTTGGGGCTGAATACATTCAGAGCTATGGTTTACTTTACACTTTTAATTGCTCTAAAAACAATATGTAGGCTTCTTTATTCTCTTAAAAAATGGTGGCTGACTATGTTGAACCTCATTCATTCCCTTTTTCCTCACTAATTATAATAATGCCTAAACATTTAAAATAATTTATCTGAATGTCAGTGGAAAATGTTAAACTAAAACAACTTCAGAAGAGATAACTGAAAAAGAAAAGTTATTCTGTGGAAAACAGAATTCTCACAGAAAAAAACAGTGGAAGGTGAAATCAGTAGGTAAGAATTGGGAATGAGAGATGCAGATTTTAAATGTCTGTTTTGTACATTTTCCTTAAAAAGACCCACACCACGAAGGATGAACTGTGTTAGAAATGATATAAAATGAGACATCTAGGATTGCGTTTATACAAAATCATCCCCTCTTCATCAACAGCCTATGGCTTACACTCATCTTCCTTAAAATAGTGTTCTTCTTTTAAGACCTCTGTAAATGTTTCCCCAACGCCTTTTAGTTTAAAATGAAACATTCTCTGTCAGAGCGGGATGCTCTACATTCCTTCAGTATCCACCCTGGGTTTACATTGCAGCTCATTCACCCTTGGCTTTGATCCCAGTCCTGTTTGTATTTTTACTTTTCCACTATGTAGAAGAATCTTATCTTTTCACATGGTGAAGAGGCTTCACAACTGAAATTTAGTTGTTGGTAGTCTACCTTTGCAGGTCTGGTGAATTTCCTCAAAATGTTCACACAACACAGGAATGGCCTGGGCAAAGCGAAGATGCAGACATCTCAGGGAGTCTGTGGCTTTCTTTGGATCTGATGGCCTCCTCTCTCCTAGTGGCCCGTGATTTTGCCCAATGATCCTCTTCCTCAGCTCTGGCAACTTCCATTCCAGCTATTCTCCTCTGATTTGATGACAAAACTTGCATCTACTGTGTACAGATCCATCTACCACAGTAATTATGCCTTCATTGGGTTGCTGTCCTTTAAATGTGTTCTCCAAAAAGCACATGTTGGAAACTTAGTCTCCAATGCAACAGTGTTGGGAAGTGGGGGCCTCATGAGAGGTGATTAGGCCGTGAGGGTGGAGTGAATGGATGAAAGCTGTCCTCCTGGCAGTGGGTTCATTACTGAGAGTGTAGTTTCCTTCAAAAGGACAAGGTCAGCTTCCTCTTGTTCTCTCTCTCACCATGGGATATCTTCTCCATGTTAAGATGCAGCAAGAAGCCCTCACTACATGCTAGACCTTGAATGTGGGGCTTCCTAGCCTCTAGAAAAGTGGGCCAAATAAACTTCTTCTGTTCATTATAAATTTACCCAGTCTATGGTATTCTGTCATAGCAGCACAAAGCAGGCTAAAACACAGAGCTAGTGAGTGGAATTCTATCAAATGTACACTTGGCTAACTCACAAAGTGCTGGGGACAGGAAAAGGAGGAGGAAGCGGGAAAGAGAGTGAAAGAGAAAGAGAGGTTTTAGGCAGGAGAAGCAGACTCTTGATATGTTCATGACGCAGAGAGTGAGAAAGAGAAGGAAATCATGTATTGCCTATTCCAGGTCTTGGGTGCCTCTTCAAGTGTGAGCATCTCTGATTTCAGAGTTTAAAGATAACTTTTTCTCATGCAACATGCTCTCTGCATGCAATCTAACTCCTTCATCTGGTGCTCAGCCAAACAAACAACAATCTGTTTTCTATGTTGGACAGTGGGCTGTGCTGGAATTTTGGAGAGAAATTATGATGGTGTCCAGTGAAGGGCTTTTCTGAATAATTTTTAAGATTAATTTTGACTCCACACATTTATCTTAAATCCTTATTTTAGAACCTATACTTCTAGCGATATGACTCCAGTGTGGGGGGAAGTGGGGTTGCAAAAGTAGATAAGAGCTTCATGTCTGGAATCAAATAATTTGGATTCATAATGCGGCTCCATCATCTACCAGATGATGGATCCCAGGCAAAGTTTTGTTTTGGTTCTCTCATTATTAAAATGTAACTAATAGTACCCATTCCATTAAGTATTTTTTTTTTTTTTTAAGAATTTGCTCAGCTAATAGGCGAGGGCATTCAGCTCGGTGCTTAAATGTATAATAACTGTTACATGTTATTATATGTCTAAATGTGATTTCTTTTTCTAAAGAGAAGTCTTTAATAAGTAGATTAATAAACTTGAAATATTATTGTAAGTCTTCCAATTTAGTCATATTAAATACTGCAAATGTTGAATAAATTGGTCTATGATGAATATACTTTTTCCTGAGAAAGAAACCATTATCATTCTGCTTGTACACATTTTAATCCAAAAATTGTGGCAAGCTTAGTTGACTTTTCTATTTTTTTGTTTTGTGGTTTTTGATAGATCTTGCAGTTTGTTCATAGCAGTAAGAGAAAGATTTTACACAAGACTTTTACTCAATGTACAAACATTGAAAATGTATTTAAAAGTATTAATGGTAACCAAAATGGGATAAAATGTTACTGGATTCACAAAACTCCTTTTTTTTTTTGTAGTTTTTGGCCAGGGCTGGGTTTGAACCCGCCACCTCTGGCATATGGGGCTGGCGCACTACTCCTTTGAGCTACAGGTACCGCCCCAAAGCTCTTTTTAATATGGATTAAGTTTTCTGGGAAGAACAAACTTTAGCTTCTTGCTCATGAAATAGACTTGTTGATAAGTTTGCCCCATATAGACTTGATTCCCAGGCATACTGTTCATAATTTACACATACCTATGAGCCTTCGCTGGGGAGGAAGCTGGACAGCTGTCTGATCTGCAAATCTGCACAGAATCATGTGTTCCTACAAGAAAAAGCAATAGAATGTGGATTTCTTTTAATCTTCCTCTTCAAAATTGTAAAAACAACAAAAAAACTATCTCATTTTTCTGGAGTTCAACATTGTTTAATTAAATAAAGTGCTGCACAAATAGTGCTGCTGAAAGAAGTAAACTTTCAGAGACGGGACCAATAATCTCTTCACTTCAAGTATACTGCTCCTTAGATGTAGTTCTTAAGCACAGATGAGCATAACTTCCTCAGGGCCATTTTGCCTAGTAGCTTTTAGCTGAAATAGGAAAACACGGTTATATTTTGCTATTACCATGCATTAGAAGACCTAAATTTCATTTTTTTTCCTTTATAAAATTTAAATCTCTGGAATGTGGCTCCAAAAAAAAAGGCTAAGTGGTTTTTAATTATCAGAGGCAAAGGAAGCAAGGCAGAAGGCAGATCCCTGTCTGTGGCCTCGGTGCTCTCAGGAATGCCCAGCAGGGGCTGGGGAGCGCTTGGCTTTTCTTGCCTTTTCCCTTTATTTATTTATTTTTTAAACACAGGAGTCTCACTTTGTCGCCCTTGGTAGAGTCCTGTAGCGTCACAGCTCACAGCAGCTCTTGGGCTTAGGCGATTCTCTTGCCTCAGCCTCTGGAGTAGCTGGGACTACAGGCGCCCGCCACAACGCCCGGCTATGTTTTGTTACAGTTTGGCAGGGGCCGGGTTTGAACCTGCCATCCTTGGTATATGGGGCTCCCTACTCACTGAGCCACAGGTGCTGCCCGCCTTTTCCCTTTAGAGGAGAGAAGCCTGGATCTCTCTTCTCCCACTCCAAAAGGCTGTAGGAGGTGTATCCCTTTCTGCTTCAAGACAAACTATGAAGAGGACTTAAGGGAATGGGAGGGAGATTATTACTTCTGAACAGTTTTAGAAAAGATTAAATGAATGACAAAGAAAGCAAGAAGGCTTTAAAAGGAAACAGTTGATGAGTTTGCACAGTACTCTTAAATTTGCAAGTCGCCAGAGGTGAGTTATTAGGCATTCAAAATGAATGCACGGTTCCCATGACAACGGTTCATTCAGAACAGCTGCAGTTTCCAAGTGTGTGTAAGATCTCACCTGTCAGCTTAGCAAACAGGTTCAACAGATTTATCATTTTTCCTCCTAGTATCGTATACATGAAATTTGAAGCCTCAACTTTTTTTTTTT